AAAAAAAAAAAAAAAAAAAAAAAAAGAAATCAAATAATAACAAATGATGGTATGATTTAAGGGAAATCACCCTTTTACATTACAGGTGAAAATGTAAACTAATATAACCACTATGAAAATCATTTTGGAGAGTCCTCAAAAAACTAAAACTAGAAATTCCTTTTATCCCAGATATTCCTCTTCTAGGTATTCCTGAAAGAGTTAAAGACATCATATTATAGCAATACATGCAGGACAATTCATAATAGCTAAATCTTGAAAGCAGGTTATACATCCATCAACAGATAAATGGATATAGAAAATGTGGTTCTTATACATAAGGTAGTACTACTCTGCCATAAAGAAGGATAAATTTGAGTCACTTAGGAAAATGGATGCCCCTTGAAACCATAATGTTAAGTGAAATAAATCAGTTACAGAAGTTTAAATATCACATGACTTCTTCTCTTTCATGAGAAACCCAAAATATAAATAAAGAGCATAATAAAAGCAGGTAATAGGAAGTAAGGAGATAGAACTTTCTCAAATGGAAAGGGGAGCAAGATATAGCAGGGTGAAAAAAGGGAGGAACTTCTCACAAGGAATGTAAGCATAATACTGCAAATGTACTAATACAAAAAAAGCAAAGTTACATAATTTGAGAAGCACAATATTCAAGCTTGTAGTACATTTTCAAAGAGTAAACATATGTATTGCTTATGATAATTGCTAGCTCTTTGGGGTACAATAAATTTATTACTCTTACTTATTTTTAGTTTGCCTGCGAGATGGAATCCATCCCCTCTACTTTATCATCACCTCATTGATGGTTCCAAACCCTGGAATGATGATGTCTGTGTATATAGTATTTGGCATTAAAGATGCTATAAACACTTCAGCTGTAACAAAATGTCCCCGCATCAAAATAGTTGTGATTATAAGAATGTAGTCACATAAAAAGGTATTGCTATTGCTGGATGACCAGAAAGTTCAGCACAAAGGATTGAGACTGACTGCCAGTCTCTCCTCAGTCTTAAAACTACTAAAAAATCATTTTTCCTTTATTTCCTCCCTTCTTATTGACTTTTCATTTTTTCAATTTTTATCTTTTATTCATACATGTTTGCAGTCAGTACATAATGATTACATTCCTCATGGGGAACTGGTACATATACATAACACATTTCCACTCTTTTTTTTTTTTTTCATTTTCTTTTTCTCTACCTCTTCTTTCCCCTTCCCTTTATTTTTTAATGTTATTGATTTAGTATTATTGCATAAGACTTTAACAATGTTTCATCTGTTTTTAAAAGGAGGCATTAAGAACAAGTAAACCAAGTTAAAAAGAAAATAAAAAGGAAGCTTTAAATAATAAACTATGTAAAAACCAGCATTTTCAACAAAACAGGATAAAAATGCCAATGAACTTTACCTTAATTTTAGCAGTATATTCTCCTCTACCTCCAAATAGACCAAGACCACCAAGTAAAATATCAGTGTCAGCACAAAAACGTATAGCTTCTACTGAATGGGCAGAGTAACCCCATCCCCCTCCATGACCTAAAAATATAAATAATAATCTGTGTTTTAAAATATCCAAATGTATTTCAGCTATAGCATAATATTTCTAAATCTATGTGTACATACTTTCAAATCTATTTACTATACTATAATCTTCTTTGGAATAAACCTTCATTACTGCTTGAGTTTCCTCCTCTGTACTTGCAATGCCCATTTTTAAGTCTTGCATAGCAGCCAAAGTGTCCAGACAACCTAAAACAACAAATAAAAGGAATAAAAATTTCCTATAGTGTTAATAATACTAAGTGCTATAGAGAGGTGGTGGCGAACCTATGGCATATGTACCACAGTGGTCTGTCTGTACCATCAAAAGCTCCAAAAGGTTTTCATTGCTATCAAGGATAAATTAATATAAGTAAATTTTGAATGTAAACACTGTTTCAGGGAGGAATACTTAACAACCAATAAATACTCACCTCCACCTGGGTAATTATCATATTTAAATATATATTATATGAGTTTTATGCTAACCTGAATCTCTGAAAGTTGGAATCACTTAATCTTGGAGCCTGTTTGACGTTGTTTCTCCTATTAAATTGTTTGAATTAGTTTGATTCGTAAAATTCTACTTATTATCTATTATGTTTAGATATGACATATGATTTCATAATTGCAAATGCTAGCTAAAGAAAAGTAAATCTTAAAGCTTTTCTTTTTGATATGGCTGAGGATCCAAAGCAGGGTCAGCTTACATCCCCAGTCCAAGGATCATTTTTAAACACAATAAAATAGGCAGGTGTGGTGACATACACTTGTAATCTCAGTACTCTAAGAGACTGAGACAGCAGGGTTACAAGTTTGAGCCCAGCCTACACAACTTAGGGAGACTCTGTCTCAAGAATAGGATAGTTGGGCATGCAGCTCAGTTTGAAGATCCTGGGTTTGACTCCCCAGTGTCCTTTTCCAACACACTCAAAAAAGCAAGACATTAGGTAGCTATGTGGACTGACATAAAATTTCCAGTAATAAAAAATATATATTACAAAAGTGCTACATCTCAAAGTAATTAAATAGGAGTCAAGCTCATGTGCTATGGGAATCTGTGTTATGTAAGAAACAGAAAATTATGAAGTAACATTTTATATTTTTGTATATGTTATTTATACACTTGAATAGTTGATCTATATGTATAAAAGTTTATATATTCAAGTTAAACAAAAATTTTGCTTTTAAGGCTATATCTATTTGGAAAATCATATCCAGGACTGATTTGTATCTAAGCATACATAAATCTTTCATTGTGTTGGTATAGGTCACATATCATATTTTGTACCTAGCATATTATTATTTAATAAACATGACAGAATGACATACAAATGTAAATACTCTAAACAAAAAAACCCTAACCCTCGGCACAGCACACACCAATGCAAATTAACCAGACATCAAATAGTGATCCTACCTAAAATGTGCAAAGCTGCATGAGATCGAGTGGTAAGAGCCCTTGATCCTGTTGGTAGGGCAAGTTCAGGACTTAAAATACTACATCTGGACTGCATGTCTGTTGCAGAGGGAAGTCTGGCATCAGCAACTACTGCATTGTAACACCACAGTTCTCTGGTATTTGGTCGAAACCTTTCAAGAAATAGAATAGTTACAGCATCTCAACAGTAGTTTCATTTGAAAAATTTCTAAAAAATATTTGAAAAATGCAAAGAGAGTGCTCGCTTTAGCAGCAGATATACTGAAAAATGCAAGGAGAATACATAATGTGATCGACTTAAATGGGAAAAATGTAGCTTATTACATATCTAAGCTAAATATATAACTAAACAATAAAATAATTTGAATAGTAATAAAGATTGCAATGCTTTATAAATATAGCAACTGTACACTAAAAAATTTGACACACAAATATGAAGCTCTTGTATAACAAAATCCATTAAATGTTTAAAGACAAATTTGAAAAAAAAAATATGGAATGGCTGGTGTGGTGGCACTTGGGAGGCTTAACATCTTCACTTAGATCACAAACTTATGTCAAAAACAGAAGTCTTGACAAAAACCTGTCTCTCTGCCTTGCCTGAATCAGTTAATAACACCAATGTCTACTCAAATATCAAAGTCAGAATGCCTTGGGCATCATCCTTGACTTCCTTCAAAACACAAACAAGTCTATTTAGTTCTATTCCAAAATATTACCAACTACTTTACATCTTCCCTACTACCTACTCTAGTTCAAGTTACTGTCTTCCTTTGCATTTATGCATTAGCTTCCACCATCGTGCCTCCTTCTGATCCTTTTTTCCATACTAAGTATAATCTCAGTATCATTTCCTACTCAAATTCCTACAAGACTTTCTTATTTTGAAGAAAATATAAATTCCTAAAGTCCTACATGTCCTTACCCTGCCTAGCCCTCTAATTTCATTTCATGCCACTCATTTGCAATGCTTTACTCTAATGGCTTTCTTCAAATTCCTAAAATACTGTCAAACCATGCTTATATGAGTGCACTTGGGCCTACTATGCTCTCTCTACTTGGAATAAATACTCTTTCTGATCCTGCAAATTCCGGTTTTTCATACTTCAAGGTTTTAACTTATATTGTCTCAGCTGTACAGAAGAGACAATATTACTGTTATTCTCAGTCACAGCACTCTTTTTTCCTGAGCAAGATTTACAAGGTACATTATTTCTTATCTTCATGTAGTCTCTATCTCTACTAACAAGCTGACTTGCATAAAAGCAAGGGCACTGGCCATCTTATTTATTGTGTGTCATTCCTTACTTACCAATATGTACTTGATATTACATATGGAAAAATAAAATTAAAATAGCAAGATTTGAAAATAGTAATGGTACTGTCCACTGATACTGACAGTATGAGAAAATATGGATTCTTATACACAACAAGAGTGGTGAAAGTTAATTCACTGACATTCTATAAGCCTATGTTTGAACTCAGCAGTTCTGTTTGAGAGTTATCTTGCAAAAATATTCTTATATGTGTACACAACTGTTTGGATATATGGTGTGGGTGTATGTTCACTGTAGCACTGTAGGTAATGTAACTTTAAAAAGCAATCTACAATGTCCACTGGTAGGGAAACAGTTAAGTATATCTGGTATGGCTTGACTATAGAATCCTACACAGTTCTGATAATGACACAGTTCTTTATCGATTAGGAAATACCTCCAAATTATTATTTAAAATGTACTTTTTGAATAATGATATTTTTATTTATAAAGGAAGCAAAATACATACTTTCTGAAAGATGCCAAATAATATAAACTAAATATAACACTTTTGATCTATACAGAAGGTTACTGAGATTTGGTATGGGGAAAGAAAAAGATCTAAAGATTGATGCTTTATCCTACATGTACTTTTGCATGGCTTTCTTCAAAATAACAAAAATTCTTGTAGTATCTATGTAAATTTTTAAGCTGGAATTAAAACTGCTATTCTTAACACTTACCTGTTTCTTATAAATGTTAAATCTAATTATTCAGGAGAAGTTACCTCCTGAAGAACACAAAAGAAAGCACGTATAGGCCAGAAGGAAAGTCAAAATAAGCTAAAACTGGATCTGCAATGCCAGTGATAGCTATGAACATGTGAGAAGTATGAAAAACTGCAAAGAAAAGAAAGCAGCTACTAGTCAGGATAATGATGAGAAACTCTGATCTTGATTTAAAAGAAACTATCTCCTAGCTGTTTTAATGAGCTATGAGAGCTTGCCCTTCACCTCTGAATCTTTTTTGGAACAATGGAGAAAATGATGAAGGGACTAGAGAGGCACTAGGGAACATATGTCCCATTCACTGCTACCACCATATGTGAAAAGGATAAGGTTCAACTAGCTAGATATTATCCTTCAGAGTTCTGTTAAGACCCTATGGAAACAGTTCTAAGTCAAGGGCTGGGGGTTTAGCTCAGCGGCACAGCGCCTGCCTGCAAGCATGAGGTCGTGAGTTCGATTCCTGGTACTGGAAAAAAAAAAAAAAACAGTTCTAAGTCAAGCAAGTTTTTAATCTCTGAACTTATACTTTTATCTCTAACTTAGTAAATTTATCTAGAAGCAAACTTCACACTGCCAATTTTTTATTTTGCTAATGTAAATGTACTTTCTTTAAAAATAGAACATTTAAGACTAGGGATGTGGCTCAGTGGTAGAGCTCTTGCCTTGCATGGCCAAGGCCCTGGGTTCCATCCCAGGAACCATACACAAAAAAAGAACACTTAAAGACAAAACAAAAACAAGCAAATATCAACTGACTCCTAAGTCCAAATCAGAGCCTATGTTTCGGTAATTAAGACTCTTGTGTTAGACTAACTTGTATTCAGTAAATAACTGCAAGCAGTTCTACCTTTACAACTACTACTCTCCTCCCGTTTCTAGCCCCTCCATTCCATCCCACCATGACCACTTTAACTTTGGTTCTTAGTATATCATAGTCTCTTATTATTTAATCTACCCTGCACAATGCTATCAGGGAGATATAAAAGCACTACCTAATTCCACTCCCAGCCTCTAGCAGTTCTCACAGAATACCTAAATGACAAAGTGAGCTGATCAGCCACCTGGGAAACACTATCCTTGTAATTAACAGAAACTATGGCCTATAAAGAGTTGGCAACTGATGGAAAAAAACACAGACCTGGTCAGAAGGAAGAAGATAAAGATAAGCTGAAACTCTTCAACTTACCAGAATTCCTGTCTACTAGGAATAAACATAGCCGAATAAACACAGCAAAAGGGAAGAAGAAAGTGCACAGCCTTATGACAAGAAACTTTGGTAGCAGAGGGTTGGTTATACTTCCCTCTTACTGGTTCCTAAAGTTAAGAACTGAAAAATATGACTTTTCTTTTTTCTTCTACATATAACAAACCACAAATAAATTTTAAACAAGTACAATATCATTTCTTGATTGAGTCTCTTGGGTACCTTTGTCTATGTCTGTATTATTATATTTTCTGGAGTTTATATAACCCAATATATTTATCTATCAGTATAGCTGTATATTTTATTATGCACATTCCTAAAAAGTAGACTCAATTTTCCTATTTATTCTACATTGTTAGCATCATTTCTTCTATCTAAGTAATAATTTAGATGTTTAGGGAAACAAATAAATTCTATTCAATACAGACAAGAACATGCCCTCTTAGTGCAGCTGGCAGTGCATCAGTCTCATAATACAGACAGGATTACTGACAAAAAAATAACAGGTACATTCTCTAAAGTAAAACTAATAATTACAATAATAGTAGCCAACATTTCTAAACAACCACTACTATGTGCCTCTATTACTATCCTCATTTCATAAATGAGAAAAATGGTGGCACAAAGAGAAGGTAACTTCTCCAAGGTAAAAGAAAAAGCAAATTATGGAGTTGAGATAAACCTAGGCAGGATACCTCAGAGTGCATGCTCTTTCCCACTACCCTATATTGTAAGGTGCTGCCTATGAATGGTTGCAGTAAAAGTTAATTAAGGAGGAGAGTACTTGTGTGTGAAAAAACCTGCATATATATGAATTTTATGTTACCAAAAGAGAATAGTGTGATCAAAACTTACTTATGTACTACATTTTAAAAACATATGCTTACCTCCAAATTACATCATATACAGGATCAAGACACACACCGAATCCTTGCAGATCCTCCTGCTCAGAGTCATTAAAAGTTTTACAACTCCCATCCACTTTATTTATCAGAAGACATTTAAATGGTGGAGGTTCTGATATAGAAGCAGGTACCAGGCCTAAAGAGACAATATATGTAATTTTAATATACATAACCTTTTTACATTCTTCAAAACACATAAGATATGTAATAATATTACCATTTCAAAGGCAAAACATACATAAAAAGCTTAAGTAAAAAAATCTTTAAGTGGCAGAATTAGGACTATCTTTGGCTGTCTGAATCCACAAAGCATACTCCCAATCCCTATATTATATCACTCCATTATGCAATTATTCATGGTATCACAGATACAAGTATGGAGTGATATCTTGGTTTCTATGAAATTTAAAAGTTTGATCATAACACCCCATAAAAATTAATTTCTATTATTTACTTAACAAGGAACAACACAGAAAAATCTCTTACTCCAGTATGTTTTATCCTACTACAATTAGCTTATACTTCTACCACTGTCTGTCTATCTTATAAATATTCTGGTTTCTGGATTTCTCAATTATTCCATTCTTCAAGCACACAGATACATATAAATTTAGATGCTTCATTTAGTTTTCTTCAAACAGAAAGGACAAAAGCTTCATGACTGTACCTCATCATAGGGAAAGAAACTATTTACTATCAACCATGATAAAGGTTTGGGGGATGGGATTTGTTCATTGTTAGTATTACCTATTATGTGTTTACTGGCAAAAATTTCTGATGTAGCAAGTACATGAGAATTAATAAGTGCCTCATCAATTCGTAAGAAAGTCTGGTCCCCACTTGCACCTATCCAAGTGGCTTTTCTTCCATATTTTGATCCAATGTTAGGCATGGGAGCTGGCTTTGCATTCCAATATGGCACATCCAAGATAGGCCTGCCCAGTTGTCCTTTCTAAAAAATTAAATAAGCCATATTAACAATATTGCTGAGTCTTTTCATAAATGACATATCAAGTTTGGACAAAGCACTTGTAAAATAAAATAATTTGCTATTTTATTAATTCCTTACTACCAATGAAGTAATCTGAAGAAAAGCAAAAATATAAGATACCTGAAACAGCCCCACAACAACCCAGAAAGAGATTATAAATATACTACCCTTAAGTTTATAAAAGTTTGCAACTAGGACTTCTGGGACTGAAGAACAATAATGATGAAGTGATTTCAGATCTTGCCACTAGCATTCCCACACCATTGCCAAAATAAAAAACCAACACACATGTAGCACAGAAACCTACCCACCTTAAACCTCGAGCAATATTAGGAGACGTGAGATAGAATGTCCTATAAGTTAGTTACCTGTAACTAATAAGCCCCTCAAGCCTGAGGGAACTAAAGAAGAAGGTCAGGAAGAAGACAGGAGTAAAGAAGACCAAGAAAATGTACCAAAGTCATTTTCCAAAAGAGAAAGTCTAACCCTTAAAGCCAAAATACTGAATGATTCAGGACTTGATGGCTTCCGTGCATCAGATTGGCACAAATTACAAGGCATGACAACACATTCTGTGGCAGGCTGTGGAAAAAAAAGGCACTCTCACCGGCTGCTGGTGTGAACACAACAGAAAAAAACGTTCACACCTTATATAGAGCCCGGGCATAAACCTTCAACCTCCCTTCTTGGAATGAAACTCAAAATATACTCCTAACAATATTCCTTATTATCACTGGAAACTACTGGACAGTAGTTAAGCATTTAAGCATAAGAAATTGACTAAATATAGTACATATGCACAATGGAGCACTATGCAGAGATGAAAAGAGAGACTCCTACAAAGTGATAGAGTGATTTCTAGGAGATATATTAAAGCACGAAGAGCAAAGTACAAAAGAGCACATATAGAATACCACCTTTTGAAAAATAAAGATAGGAAATAACTTTTGTATGTGTTTATGTGGTGTGTTTGTTTATGCATGTACTTACTTGTTTATCTTTATAAGAGGAAATGCAGAAAGAATAAACTAGAAAAGACCTACAAATGTAGAGTGAAGGAGGCATGAAGCAGGAGGATAAGGGAAGCGGGAAGCAGGAAGCAGGAGTTTACCATTTTTGTACTCCTCAAGAGAGAGAAAAATGAAGACTACTCTATGTTTTAAGTAGTGCTATGATCTTTAAAAATTTCCATGTCATAGTAGACAGAAAAGTGGGTACATTCCTAATTAAAGCAGACAAAAGACACAAAACAAAAATGCAATGACTGATCATATATCAGAGGTAGAAAAATGTTAAAAAGCAATCACTGAGCCAATCAACAAAATATAAAGTATTTAGGAGTAAAGCACCAAAGAATACATAATTATTCTTAGTGGGATCAGGTGGAAAATGTTTAAACACAAGCAAACATACTTGGGAGCAAATACACAGAAAGGAAGAAAGAACATGTATAAAAGATAAATGGATCAAAATATTAAACAGATCTAAATACTAACAACAGTTGAATCTGGTTAAAGAGTATATGGGTGTTCTACGTACTGTTTTTATTTTTGCAAATTTTCTGTAAGTTTCAGAAATAATTTCCAAATAAAAAGTATTTTTGAAGTCCATATTTGCACTTTTTAAAAATCAAGAGTTGTAAATCACATCTTTGAAACTTAAATGTTTTACAGTTCTCAATAGTTACCCAAGAAGGTACAGGTTTATGAACACAGCCTTAGGATGATTTTCTTTAATATTTACTACACAAAATTCTTTAAACATTTTCATTTTCAGTCTTTTCAAGCTTTAACAGGAACAGAGGGGGTGGGGCAGCAGATAAACAGAAAGGATACAATTTAAACAAAGCTTATCTTATAAACTAGGCCTTTAAAAAGTTCTAAAATAAAAATAGTAAAAATAAAGTTATTTACATTATGAGAAACAAATCTTTACAAATTAGATCAGAACTTTTCTTTTTTGTGTGTGTCTTCTTGAGATAGGGTATCGTTATGTAGTTCAAGCTGGCCTTGAGCTCACTTTGAAGCCCAGGCTGGTCTCAAACTTGTAACGATCTTCCTGCCTCAGCCTCCTGAGTCCTGGGATTACAGGCGTACACCACTACACCCAGTGAGAATTTTTCAAATGATAGAATTATTAAATGCTTTTAAAGGATTTTGATCTAGAACAAACACATCCAATTGAAACAGTGTTGCTAAATTCAGTAAATTCTAATGCTGGGATAGAAAAGAAAATTATTTGAAAGAATATCATTTACATTTTGGGTGCAGTGGAGGTAGAGGCAGAAAATATGCATATGCAATTGGTATACAAAAATTTCACTGAAACCAGGAAAAAAAACCTAACATAGATAAATTATAATGCAATATTATTAATGTTTAAAAAATTCCTTACAGAAAAACTTCCAAAGGTGAAGACCTGTCCATCCATTAAAAGGACTGCCGTATGGTTGCTCCCTGCAGTGACTTGTGTGCTAGGGCCTGGCAAGGCTTGAACAAGAGTGGGACATCCCCTAGTTAAAAAAAAAAAAAAAAAAATTATGTCAATTTCTCATAAGACCCAACTAAAATAAAAAAATAATAAACACTGCAATAAAAAATAGGAAAAGGAAAAGAACTAGTAAGAATATTCAGTAAATACATATTTAGGTGCTGTATATCTGTCCCCATTCTAGGTGTTAGAAGACAAAGGTAAGAATGACACAGATGCTGACTATAAGGAGATTGTTCAGACGATTTCTGGAGTTTACTCCTTAATCATGGATACGTAATTTTTAACTTTTCTGAAATATTAGTTCTACTTTTATTTCAAAAGGAAAAATATGTTACCTTGTGTAATAAGTATGTCAGAGAGCTCTCACTAAACAGCTGGTGGACAAAATTAAAAAAATCCTTTATAGGAATTCAATCCAGGAAGTGGATGCAATAATTAATTATACAATCCTCTAGTCTAACTTGTATCACTAAACTATAATCTCAGCTTTTCATGTAGTAGTCAGTGAGTCAGAATATTACAGCATCCTCAGAGGCAGTGAGGCAGTGGTTATAAGCTTAGGCTCAGAAGCAGAGGGCCTAGGTGTGGATTCTGCTCTACCACTCCACAGCAACAAGATCATGACTTTGAACATGTCACTTATACATTGTATGTTTCAGTTTTCACTTCTATAACACTGAGAACAATAATAAACAGTACCTATCCCACATAAGTTCCTTCATAAAAAGAAGTTCCATTATGTCAAATACTTGGATCACTTTTGGTACAGTAAACACTTAATAAACATATAGCTATTATGCTGACATCCTAGTATCCCTTCCCACTTTTATTAACCATTTCAGCAACCATCTTTCATAGTCATTACTTAAAGTGAGACTATTAACCAATACGGAAATAAGCTACACCTAACAGGAGAGCTTTACTTTTAAACAATGCAATTAAGATACTTCTAATTTTTAAAAAAATACATAAAAGATTAATAATTTCAATGTTTATCAGACTGCAATGAAAAATGAATTGGAAAGGGGCAAAGATTAGGAGCTGGAAATCTAGCTAAGAAAATTTCAGGAAAGTCTAGTTAAGTTATGGTGAAAGCGTGAAGGAAGAACAGTTAAGGAAAAGAATGGATGAATGCGGCACCTATGTAAAGAACAGGACTGACCAGACTTAACAGATGGCCAATAGGGGCAAAAAAGGTTTTTTACTTAAATAACAAAGTAGATGGTGGCAAGGGCCACTTATGCTATGAGAAAGACTGAGACCTAGGAAGGCTGTAAGAGATAGGGAAGAAGGGATTAGCTGAATCTAAAAATTACATAATAATCTGCAGATATCATATGATGATTTTTCTTCCTTCCTGAAGCCTAACCACAGACATTGAAAATACAGACTGTCATGCAAAGTTTTGTCATGTCCTAGAATCAGAACCAAGAATGTAAGAAAAATGTGGATAATGATAAGAATTTAAGTGAAAAAAATGAAATAATCTCTACACTGGGTAGGATATGAAAGTGAAAGGGTGAAAAAGTAAAAAAGTAGAGGAATATATGTAGAGAATAATGTACTAAAAAAGTCAAAGACAAGTAAAGCTAGGGTGCAAAACACAGGAAGAAACTGTCATCAGATTAACAATTGTTTAAATTTAAGAATTTAGAGCTGGAGGGCAGATCCAGCCTGGGTAGTCATGTGACGTATCTCCACAAAGGTAGAAATAAAGTTCACTAGATATTTGTATGAGGGTCAAGAGAAGAATAGTGTTTAGAGCCATTCATGTGACAGTGATATCACTTACAACTGGAATAAGACCCACAGTAAAAAACAAAACACTGGGAACAAGATGCTAAACTTTTAATGCAAAGAATATTGTGGCTACCAAGGAGGTAGGTAATGAAAAAGGAAGAGTAAAACAGAATGGTCATGACTCAAAAACACAGTAATTTCATTTTTGTTTGTTTATTTTTTAATTTGAGGATAGGGTAATATGGCCAGGAATAGCAACAAAAAGGTAAATAGTTTTCAATTCTGAAGTACAGGGTACATTAGTAAAAGAATAATTACCACTTCAAAGTGCTAGACTGTTAACTACTTTACCCTCACAGAAGCACTCAAGGAAGTAAATAGAGAATTCCTATAACTGCTTACTTGTTTGTAGTTTACAATGCACTTTCATATAAAATAATATCACTGATTACCAGAAGAACTCTATGGGTACATGTGAAGAGCTTTAAAAATTTTCCCCAAAGATTGGTGGTAGGTCTTCTAGCCCAAAGACTCTTTGAACTCTTTCCATGATACCAATGGCTCCATTTATTAAATTATTTAGAAAGCAAAAGAAAAAAAAGAAAAAATTATATATGAGTATGGGCGTGTGTGTATGCCAGGTAATTTACATACTTACATTCATTCTACAGCGAAGCAACAGAATATGAAAACTAAAGTTTAGAGAAATTACAGTCATACAGCTGGTAAGAAATGGTGAAGCAAACACATGAACCTTGCCTAGATGACTCTAAACCCTGTAATCATATAGTTTATAAGCACAGGACAGAAGAGTAAGAAAAAGATCAACCCCAGAAACATCCTGTTAGAAAAAAACAAAATAAAGCATCTGCATTATGTAGTTTTTCTCAATATCCAAGCTTTAAGTTGACTGAAAATGTCAAATGTACTCAGGATTCAGACATTTAGGAACATACTCATCCAAAGAAAGTATTCATAGACTCATGACATGAGTGAATGCATAAAGACCTTTACATATCTTTTGACATTCACTTTGAAAAATAATAATGACTAACATTAACAGCATTTACTACGGGCTGGACTCTATGCTAAGTAAATTACTTGAATCATCTCTGTGATTTCTCACACAATCTTCTGAAAAAAAAAATATGCTTCCTTTAGACATATGGAAAAATCTTAAGACACAAAAGGTTAAGCAACCTGCTCAGGTCATATAGCTATGAAATGACAGAGTCAGGACCCAATCTAAAGACTGACTTTTGGAAGGACAACACATTAAATAAAGGGAATACCACTAGCATTTTTCTATCTTCATCATAGAACACTGTAATACTTATCTTATCCTCATCAACATATTATTAATAGATGCTATACAGTGAATTCCAATTAATAGTACTTGATTACTAGAAACTTTTCAAAAATATCTTCCAACTGTAATCATTATTTCAACTATCTAAAAGTATTTTGTGGTAATTAACTGTGTAGCTATAGGGATTTTATTCCTTGGGATTATTCCTCCATATAAGGGATCTAACTCCTTACCAAACTAATTTTATTGAAAGGAAGGAACAATTCTTGGTTCTTGTCTTTTAAGTTCCATACAAAACACAGTGCTAATGATAGACATGGTCTTGATACATTGCTCCTCTACTGCAGAAAGCATGTGGGTAGGGCTGTATTGAATTATTAATTTAGCTCAACCTACCCCATGTTCTCCAGTTAAAAGTCTATTAATAAAAGCAGAAATAAAATTTCCATGTCAGAAAGAACAACTTTGGGTAGTTAAAGCATATCTCATCAGAGTTTAGTCTTATTAAGATACTCTGAAGTGTTTCAACCATAAAAGTCATCATATTTCAAAAGGATGATAAATTCAAAACAGTGTACTGTTGTGATACTGTCAGGTTGGAAGTCACTACAACTTAAGACATAGTTTTCACAGTATAATAAGTACCACAAAACAATGTTTTTATACAATTTCTTCACTTTAAAAGCTGACAAGAGCAACCTCCCTTTCAACAGCCATTATAGCTCAAAATGTGTGACAGGATCTTAGCTTATGCTACTTATGCTTCACATTGAATAGTAAGTTAACATAAAACATAACCTAAAGAATACAATGTACTGTCATGGTTTCCACTATTCCCCTTCCAACTTGGGAAGGGAAAAGATAACTGTTCAACAATTACTTTCCATGGAAAGATAACCAAATTCAAAATCTTGTAAAAAGTCCCCTTCCTTGTTGTATTCAACTGAGGCTCCATCATATCTCACTGCATTGTACCTTTCCCAGTTTATATGACACCCCAAATAATTCCAGATAAATAACAATAAATGGTAATGCTGCTGATGATAATAAACCACCCCATTTTTTAAGTCTTCAGTGAGAAAAAGAATACAAAAGTTGCCGAGTTCTTCACACATATTAATTATGGAATCACTGGTCTGTGTTATATAAATGGCATAAATGTATCACTGTTGTAAAAATGGGATGAGTTCAACACAAAGTAAAAACTGTAGCTTTATCTATTATCTACATGATGTTGTAAATAAATGAAAGATAAATGCGAGATCATAGTGTCCTTTCGATTCTCAGAGATGGAATTATGTATTCTGCCTACAAAGGGTAACAAGGCAGCAGGAAGAGTCAAAAAGAAAGTTTTTGCACAAGTTGTACTGCTTAGTCAAATGTGGCCTGAAGCTACCTACATCTCTCCAGATTTGAAAAATATACCTGGTTTCCACAGACATAAAAATTATTCCAGTTGCCATCAAGAAAACCTACTGTAGGGAGAGGAAGCTGACTGATAGTGTCAGGTGCCATCTCTTTGGCTCGGTAAGGTCATTTTTCTCCAGGCATGCTACTATCCTGCAATTGAGCACAATGAATGTGTAACGCAGACCTGTGCCTGCCCAGTGCAAGACTCTTTTAAAGGCAACTTTAGTTTGGGGACACCCAGTTGGCCTAGTTCAAATGCTCTCAAAGCTGTACTGCAATCTAGACTTTTCTTATTGAAACCTTCCTTTCCTCTCTCCTTTCATAGGGAGTCAGACCTGCATCATATCGGAAGGGTTCTCTTTTTATGCCTGCTATTTTCCTTCAACTTTCACAGTTTTCCCCTAATAATCCTCTGCACATCAAATGCTGTCTTTGTAACTCCTAGGAAGACAGAAAATAAGGAAGACAAATTTCTCTTACTTTTAACCAAAAGCACCACTATAACAAAAGCCAAAGTAATAACCCTTAAGATAGAAGTTTACTCTTCACTTAAGTGTATAACTGTAAAACACTGATGTGGCCGTTTATAGTGTCCAGCTACTCCTAACTTGTACTTTGTCATTCTCAATACATGGTCTCCAAATGACAAACTCTACGATGACTTTTCCAGTTTGCATCATCATGCATGTTTTCCAGCCAGTGATAAGGAGAGGAAAATGGAGAGGGTACTCCCCTTCCCTTTAACAGCCTAATTCCAAAGTTGCACATACCACTTAAGTCCACGTGGCTATATCTGCAGCAATGGAGGCTGGGAAAGGTAACCTTCAGCTAAATATTTATATCATATCACCAGTGGACACACTACTACTAACTGATAAAGGTAAAGACTTTTTAGTAAGGACTTTTAAGGTAAGGACTTACTAGTAATGACTACTAGTAGTCTCTATCAGTTTGTCTTCATTATTTTGAATAAATCAAAACAGTTTCTCAGAGAAAGCAGTAAGTTTCACTTCAGATTATTTAAAAGCTTCAACAACTTTATGTTTGTTAATGTTAGACCAAATTTCAAGAATCTCTTTTTTTGTTTGTTTGTTTTTTTCTGGTACCGGGAATCGAACTCATGACGTCGCACTTGCCAGGCAGGCGCTGTGCCACTGAGCTCAATTCTCAGCCCCTAGACCAAATTTCAAACTAGACAACATTAAAGAATATGATTAAATCTGTAGTGGTGGTGGTGGTAGTGTGTGTGTATTTGCAATGCTGAGAATCAAACTTGGGGTCATGCATATGATAGCTAAGCATTGTGCTACACCTCTAGACTCACTGTGAATTGTTTAAAAATGCAATCTGGGGATATTTTGTTTTTTCTATTGCTATGCATAGCCTTTAAAAAGACAGTAATTGTTAAAAAGTATAGTAGGATTTTGTGATAACCACAGTTACTCATACTTAAAATGCAAAAAGTGTAAATCAACTTCTTAAAATGACAAAATCACCTACCGGACAAAGGTACTACATCACAAAATCAAAGACCACCAAGAATTCATGGGCCAGAGATTGAAAAACAGTAGCATAAATATTATTTTGATGCTAGCAATATGGATTTAAGAAGAGAGATGGAAAGGAAAAGGATAAGGCAGGTGTAAGAATTCAGTATCTTCAAACAAAAAGTGAGTACCTGGAATTGACATCTCCATGTCCTAGCTGCCCATGTTGCCCATATCCGAAAGTATAGACATCTCCATTTTCCATTAAAACCACTGAAACCAAAATAAATAGCTTTATTTTTTCACCATATAATTTTATACTTCTATTGCAACTATTCTAAAAGCAGTGTGATTTCCATTGCTTTAAACTTACAGTCATTAAAAATAGGTAATGGAAGCCAAAATGAATTCACATGTAATGAGAAGTCAATATAATTTTAGCTCTGCAAACTACCTTTGTAGGTCATAAAAATGCATTCTTACAAATATCATTTAATAACATTAATAATACAAATTGATTCTGGTCAATTGTAGAATTTTAATAGTGAGTAACTACATATTAAATACTATTCTCCAATATCTGGAATAAGTACAGGCATAAATTGGCTGGAACACTACACAATTAGGTACACCTTCAATGGAATGATGTACAGTATACAGTATCTTTAATACCTATCCATACGCTATAAAACAAAATAAATTTATCTCAAAGAAGAAACAATATTCTTAATCTTTATAAAGGCTAATATTCTTAATCTTTATAAAGGTTGAATAGTATAACCTAAGCTTTCTAACCTGAATGTTAAGAATTTACTAAGAATTTAATTATCTTGGGGCCGGAGATACAGCTCAGTGGCACAAGCGCCTGGCTGGCGCGTGTAAGATCCTGTTCAATTCCCAGAACCCGCCCCCCAAGTTATCTTGTAGTATCTCTATTACATTTTAAGACAAAAAAGAAAATTGGGGACACACATTTCTCATCAATATTAAAAAAAGTAGGGTCAAGTCATAAAAACCACAGCATTTTAAAGGACGTGAGACATTATCTCATCTTTGGTAATTTCTTGAATTACAAAATAAGTCCATTAGAAGACAGACTAGAAGTGACATTTTTCAACAAATATAGTAGGTATTCCATAATACCATAGTTTTTAAAACAGATCCAAAAATAAAGAGGAAGCTCTTATAGACTTGAGAGATTAACAAACACACAAAATTAACAGGCTACATTCGTCAAAATTAAACAAGATTTATTTAGCACAATTGTAAAAATGCAGTTATACCCTAAAGTTCCAGCTGCTACCTGAATGGTGAAATCCACAGCTGACTTGTACTGCTCGGAGTTCACAGTCAAATTGTACAGAGCCTGGAGGATATGTTGTGATTTTGCTTGCATCCTTTTCTCCTCTTTCTCCACTTCCATCTGTAAGTGTTATAATTTGCAATTAAGCCAGTATTCATCTTCAAAACAAAATTTTAAATCAATTTACTATGGAAGAATAAGAGAAAAATTGTTAAAAGAAATAAGTAAAGAAGAATCTGCAGCTGTTAGAAGTGAGAGATCAAGAATCTACCTGCAAAGAAGCAAATTTGAAAAGCTATACTATATATGCCTGCTTGCAATATTGCTAAATCAATAAAAACAGAGGTAAGATATGGTTAAGGATAAAACCTATTAAGCTAATCAGTTATGTAATGAAAGTGGATATTTAAGTTATAGAAATAAAAATTTAATGTAAAGTAAGTTTATATGGGAAAACAGTTCGCATAAAAAATAACTGCATGCAAAGTGTTTAATGACTACTTTACTTAGTGATATTGTTAGTAGTTGCCACTTTAAAAAAAATTCCTATTGCTTCAAGAGTGACTTAGATGTTCAAAACAGATCTCAGAGAAGCTACACTGTCCACCAACACTGTAAATTCAACTAAACTTTAAAAAATGTATCAAGACCCAATGGATAAATACGTAAATATATATTAGTTCAATGGCCTGGTCGCATTCATTTCTCCTGTCCCCTTTCCCCCCACAGCCACTCTGTCCCCTACCCCTATCCCCACCAAGCCTTTCTGCTTGCATTCCTTTTTCCCTCCAGTCTTCTTTTCATTATTTCCTGAACTAAACTTGCTTTAGGCCACCACTGTTTTCTACATCTGACTTTGAATTTTCTGACATTCTAACCAAAGCTTCAAAAACACATTCCAGAACATAAAAACTTTACTTTGGAATGTGTAAAGAGAAGAGACTATTTGCTTTTTTGTAATCAAAAACTATACATTACAGTACTAATATATGACCTCTATGTTATCAAGATTCAAATTCCTTGCACACAGTATGAAAATTTGGAAGGAATTTCAAAAGATCAACTACCCTAAAGCACTGTCCTGTGATGTAACGACTCTAAACAAGTATATATATCATGCAGGTAGACATGTGAATCTATAGAAACACACAACTCTGTTCTTATTGCCTATTTTGGAATGCCAAAAAAAGTAACACCAAATTATTTTTTTTCTCTGCTATAACTAAATGACTAGAGTCTCTCTAGAGTTCATCATTTTAAATTCTATAACATTAGGACAGTAAAACCTCACTAATTCGGAATAACAAAATGGGTAGGTCCAAGTGACTTACTGTAAAAGTATTAACCACACAACATTTAAGTAAAACTTCAGTTTTGTTACCTTCAAGCAGTACAGATTACAGATTAAATGCTACAATAAATAAAATGTGTTCACCTACATTATATTTTAAAATAGGCTAACATTACATTAAAATGTATCATAAACATAAAAGTCCTTTAACATACAAGAATTAACTGCTGGACCCAGAGGTTGAAGGCACGTTGAAGGAATCCTTCATTTCTTGAGCCCTTGGTTTGAAAAGCTAGTGATTTTAGACAGGTTTCCCCTTAAAAGTATGACCCTGAAAATTCAGAGGAAGAAATTACTTTGATTTTTTTAACTCATAATGATCACAAATACTGCAGCTGAAGTATCATAAATTCTGAATTAGTGAGAGGTTTTACTATAATAGGATAAAAATATAATTCTTCTTCTGCTAAATAGTCTAATGTGAATTTGTCAAGTTAATAAATGGAAAGGCTAAATAAAAAATCATTTAGCTTCATCCCAAATTAAACAATTTTAGTTCAAAGCCTATTTGTCTTGGAAAGACAGTAGAATGGTTAAATACACACAAAGACTTACACAAAAAAGAACACATATCTTCCAAAGACGCTTACATAAGATTCCAGATGTTAAAAAAAAAAAAATTCACAATTTTCTGAGTTGGCAAAAACATTTAATTAAGACCAAATCTGATTTAGCATAAAAAAAGTTGTATTCACATAACTTTGCCAGATTAAAATAATTTGCACATTTCAAGTATTTCACTTTATAAAAGTATGTTAGATATTTGGTTAGAAGCTCTTGCCTTTGAAATTAGCATTTTACCCCCTCCCTTGAATTGGAAACTAAATACAGATATATATCCCAAAAAAAGACATAGCATCACGGAAGGGAGATTTTTTTTTTAAAGCCCAGTAATTTACTGAATAAAACCATAGTGACTAAAACAGTAGTAGATATTAGAGATCAAACTTCTATTAGGAAAATTCTGTTGAAGTTTATCTAAATTGTATCTATATAAAAATGTTTCAGTTATTAACGACAAAAATACTGTAAAGGTCATAATGATGAGATTCTTAATTAAAGAAAATGCAGAATTTAAAATATATGTAAGTATATACACATGTGCTATGTGGTATATAAAATAATCACATTCAGATTCCTAACTAGATTTATTATATTGAAGTCTTTCTATGTAAGGCAACGAGTGGCTTAAACAAATATTAATACAAGTATCTGTTTGAAATACAATTTGAAATCACATTTTAGAAGAACTTATTATGTGTTATATGGAATTCTACTTATTGGTTCAGCTTTATGTAGTCTATTTTGCCTCTAGTCAAAATTTGCCACTCTATAACTTTCTCTGAATTCTTTCTAGTCAGAAGCTCTCCAACTTTTCATCTTAGAAATCACTTTTGTCAACGAACTGAGTAACATTTTGGCCATTTTTATAAGATCATGCTACACAGTATATTATCCATTGTTACTATTTTATTATGAAATTTTTTTATTTTTCATATAATTTTTAAATATTTTTAATATCTATTTGTATTACATTAAAATAAAAAATTTTTAAAGAAATCAGTCTAACAATAAATCCACAGTTTTTACCCCATAAAAGGTACAATCTAAAAAATTTTAACCATTATCACTTTACAATTCATACCAACAATATAAGTAAGACAATACAGCAATTAGTACAGTGAACTTCTCAGTGCATAAACTGGAAGACAATATAAGAGGTGGGTTGATGTAAGATTGTGAAAATGATGAGAGCAGTGAATGGGCTAGGAATAAATGACAAGATAGTGAATGTAAAGGTTTAGCATATGGACAGGAATTAGTGAGTAGTAAATTAATATTCTATGTAAATGGGGCACCATTTGGTATCATTTACATTGCATATGCATTTTCAAAAGAGAAATAACAGTATCCAATTTTATAAAATCAGAAAACAAAAACATTGTGCTCACTTCAGCAGCACATGTACTAAAATTAGAAAACAAAAACAAAAACCCTAGTACTGTAATACTACTAAGGAGGTCCCTAAAAGAGGTTCCTCCATTGCTATACTCAGCAAAGAGTAACCCTGTGGCAGACAAAATTGATATAAAACTATCATTTAATAGTTTTTATAGCTAATAATTACATGACATTGGAAATGAAATTTATAATTTTGGTCTTCATTTACCATTACATAAAAAAATAAAGATACTTGTCCATAAGATACAAGCATTTTAAAGTTTCATGAAATGTGAATATTTAACCTCAGGTAAAAACAATAAGTGAGGAGAAAACACACTGAAAAAATCTGTTCTAGTAGTGGCATAAGAGATCAGAGAATCTGGCTATAACTAAAAGATTTTACACAGTATACTCTAAATATTGTTCCTTACATTTGAATATTTTTGATACTGTTAGAGCATGTTTGTGTAAATAAAGCAATCATAAATCTTACTGTGGCTAATTATGTTAGCTATAAAACATTCTCAGTTTTTATTTCTGCAGAATGTATTTTAAGTTTTAAATTCAACTTATGCTTTCACTAAAAACAGAAGCTTTGTGTGTCTGCTCAGTGGCAAACCAACAGATTGAGGAATGCAAACAAAGTGGATTATATATTGCACATGAAAGTTTCTTAAAATCAATTGTTAAGTTTGGCAGCAAAGGAAAAAATAAGACAAAAACACTATAACTAATGTACATATATGCAGAATATATATATTTTTAAATGTTCTCCTCTACTTTCAGGGCTTATTTTAGGTGTTTAAGAAAATAGCACCTGCAAGTTGGACCAGCCAGTGAAGCATCCCTAGCTCACATACCAAGATTCAAGGCATACTTATACACAAATTTTAAAATTCTCTGTATTAAATGTTTCCTGATATTATCTGCCATAATTTGTGGCTTGTAACAAAAATAAGCATGATTTAGGAACATCTGATATTAACCCAGAATTCAGATTTTAAAAAATAATGCACAAATGTTAACCCAGAACTCATATCTCAAAGAATAATACAGAAATGAATTCACAGTCCCTCACAGACTTCATTGGACCTCTGACAGATTCAAAGGACTCACACTTTGCTTACATCTATTTCTACTTAATCCTCCAATATCAAATATTTGTATATTCATATGTATTGGAAATCTTAATATTAAAACAGTAGAAAATGTAATGGCAGCCATCATCTTATGAACTGCATTTAGTAAGTTTATTTACTCTAAAATATAAACAGCATTGAAAAACAAGAACTATAAAATGCTAGATCACAGCCATCTAAGAACAGATAATAAAGGATAAAAAAGAGAAATTAATGATATATTCCCCTTTTTCTTCTTTATAAGATATGAAAAGAAATGAAAAAGATATATTATAAAATGTCGTAATAAAAGTTAACAACCAAATGAAATGAGAAGCATGATAGTCACTGACAAACTACCACATTTAGTATGTTCTTTCTCCTCAGGCTATATAATGACAGAAGCAAAGTAGAAGAACCAGGTTTATACATTTTCCCAGAGACAAAATTCAGACAAAGGGAAGAAATTGGGAGAGTATCCCACCTAGTTGATAAGGAAGACCAAATACCTTTGTGCTTGTCCCGTTTATGCTTTAGCTGTGCTGGATGGGATCTGAGTCTGGCTAGAGCCTGTTCTCGGTTGTTCATAAAAATAGGACCAGCAAATACAAGGGGGCCTGAGGAGAAACATTTTGTATGTGCATAGAAAAGCTCACAAAATGAAAACACTATAATGAACAAAAATAATTAACTAAAATGCATGAAATTTATTCTAAACTGTTTTGGACATTGTATCTTTCTCCCAATATCCCCAACTCCAACCCCTTGCCTCTTAACATAATCTGGTCACCATTCTACTCAAAAGTTAGTATCTTAAATACAGTTGATAAAGTACAAGTCCCATCCTCCATACTTATAAAATCATTAGGTAGTTACTTACAGTCTCAGATAATTAAGAAGTTCTATTAAAGTAAATCAAGTTATCTCACAAACATTTTTCAATATTACACATTAAATCATAGTAAATATATACTCACTAAAAACGAACAGTTTTTCTTATTGAAATATGAAAACCTAGTGATTAATTTTTAAATTAATCAGTAAGTTCTAACAAAGTCTGGAAGACTTTGTTACAAGAATCAATTTTGCTACAAAACCAAGATAAAAATGTTACTGACTTTTGTACATATTGTGATAGAAGTTACGAAAACCAGATGATCAAAAATAGAATCAAAAGATTTCCACGGTGCGACTGAGAGAGACAGAGACAGACAGAGACAGAGACAGAGACAGACACAGACACAGAGAGATAAGAGACAGACAGAAAGAGATAGAGGCAGATAACAAGAATAATCTTAGTTTTATAATCAAGCTACATTTTAGGCACATTAACCATTTTTCTCTTAATTCTTCCTAAAGCACGACTATGTACATATAATATACAATACACACCCTCACAGATTACAGTTATACCTTAAATTTTCAGTTTTTCTCTTATAGGACAATTTCCTTGAGTTTTAGCAGCTTCAAAAATACCTTCAAATTTCAAAGCATTCTAAATATGACAGTAGCCGTATTTGAAAAGAAAGTTATGATCGCACATGAATATCTAACATTTTAAATAAATCATGTTTCTTTTCATGATTCCCTACTGATTTGCATTTTAATTACTTTTTCTAATGATTGGAAAAACAGAAATTACTGTCCTTTAATAAATTTAACAAACAGAAGATTAAATACAAAGTATCATTTATTAAACATAAAAAATAGTAAATACATTTCAGTTGTTTCTATGTCCAAAATTACAACAAGCACCAATCCAATGAAAAAACACAGATAAAACACACTGATTTAATGTTGGCAGAAGAATTAAATATTATTTCCCAGTAATGCAGTACCAATCATTTTCAAGCTATAATTAAATAAATTGAGCTCCATTTCTAGAAGAAAATAAAGTTATTCAAATATGAGTAAAATGTCTTATTTCATCTAGATGAATTATTTTTCAAATGATTTATTAAAATAGAAAATATAAACTTAAAAAATACTTTCTAACTATGCAATAATTATAGATATTAAAATAAAAAATAAACTGTCTTGTTTAACTTCCATTATCTCATTGGGGTATTATTTCTCTCCATAACAATATATTATACGCATAAAATCCATTAATTAATTTCTAACTAAATTCATTTTGTGGCAAATCTTTAAATGTATAAGTCTAGAAGGCCCATAGGCAAGCACGCCTAGAAATTAACATAGTAAGGCTCCAAAATAGGATATCTGATAGATTAACATGATTTTTTTCAAAAACATTCATTTTTTTTAATCATCTTTTATTTGGTAGATCTCAATGGAACAAAGTCCACTAGAGAAGACAGAAATAAAAACAAAGCACTATAATATATTGTGATAAATGCAGTAAAAAGCAAGTCTATGTACATTGTACCTAGAAAGATGAAAATTGATCAAATGAAAGGGGGGTTAATCTGAGAGATTTCAAAGACTGCAAAAATAGTTTAAGAAGAAACTATTAGAAAAATACTACAGAAAGAAGAAAGAAAGTAGTATAGAAAAATAGTATAGAAAAATACTACAGAATGAAGAAGACATTCAAATTAAAAGAAATAGGATTTATAAAAGCATGAAAATGTTAAAACAACTTTGATAGTTATTTAAAGCAAACGGTTGAAATGAATGAAGCATAGATTATGGAGCAGAAAGAAGTAGAAAATTATTTTAGGGGGATGGATTAAAAAAAAACCCAGACAATTTAAACTTTTTCATACAATAAAACTTAATGCTAGAGATGAAAAATCCCTAAAATGTTTTCAATTATTCAACAAAGATTCCAATTATGGCATAATGCTGTCCAATATTTGTTAAGGAAGATACAAGACTAGCCGCTTCAGGAAGCACACAGTGTAACTGGGAGAGAATTGATAAGTGGTACAAAAAAAGGAAAGGGGCAGCTAGCAAAACTGAGGGTGAAAAAGTAAGGGAGTTTTGAGTACTAAAAAAAAAAATCATGTAAACTAAGACACAATAAAGGAGGTAGCTGAGCACTATAATGGCTCAAAGATATGAAAATAATACACAGGGAGAGGTAAAAAAAATAGGAAAAAGAAGAAAGGAAAGGCTGGAGAGACAAGAATGTAGAATTCAGACAGACAATGACTAATAGTCTTTTGCTTTTTAAGAGAAGTGCTACTGATCAAATCTGCACTGCAGAAAGATCATTCTGCACAGTGGTGGATAAAAGCTCAAAGGGGTTAAGACCACTGGGTAACACCAGTTTAAAAGGCTTTCTGCTGCAATTCAGGCAAAGAAAAATGTGGGAGAAGTAAAGCAATAGTGTGAGTCTAGAAAGTAAGACTATTCAAAAGCTATTAAAGATTTAAAAGTCTGAATTAGAAGAATGTGTTGGTTAATAGAGTGAAAAGAAGTAAATAAAACAGACATGAATCTGCCAGATTTAATATTGAAAAATTCATGTGTAGACAATGGGTTACTTAGAGCCTATCCATCATCAGGTAAGAAGTACGGAATAAATGGATGTACAAGCAAGACAGGGATCTCAGAAAGCTACTAGTGATGCATTTTGAGTTTAAAAATTATTATCCTTTGCTGTAGTAACTCTAAGACTTCAGTTGCCCAGTAACTTCTACAAATCTATTCTCAGGAAAACGCTAAAATATTTTTAAAGCTATTACAGCTCAAAGGTATTTAGTATTAATTGTACCTTAACTGTGGCAAAAATTAAGGGATAATTAATGAAAATCCATGTCACATCCAGTTAGCTGAATAATATTAAACCATTAAATTAAAATTTATAAAGAATATTTACACAAAAAACTTTGTGCTATTTAACAAACATGTTAAACATTTTGCAAAAATTAAAAAGAATTGCTACGTTATACCAGAGAAAAACATATTTACACATTAGAGAAAATAAATTTCTATATCTATTTAAAAACAATGTGAAATGTCTGTAAATTTGAAATACACACTCTCTGATTCAGATATTTTATTTCTAGGGAGCTCTGCTATAGAAACAAGAGCTTCACTATGCATAGCTGTAAGTTCAAGAATATTTAGCATAGAAATTACACAAAAACTAAAATTAACTAGAATGCTCATCCACAAAATAACAGTTGCAGAAACTGTAATATAATCATATTATAAAATGTTATGTAGCTACTAAGTAGTATGTGGAAGATGTTACTTACTGACCTAGTTTGCATTCATGTTGTACTAGAAAGTAAGGAAAGGACGCTGATAACGTATACATAATACTATGTGCAGATACTGTATCTTAATAGGGAAAATATGAAAGTACACCCAGTAGACTATTAACTTTATTTAGGTCATGAGGAAAATAAAGTGAAAAAACCTAGGGAAACATAAAAATGTATGTATTGTAAAAATATACAATAAAATTCAGTCAATAATACAACTAGAAATGCATAAAAATTGGCCAGAAGATGACAATGAAATAAATATAAGTAGTAATTAAACTAAAGCAGAAGTTTATGGAAACTCTTTGACTTAATTCTTTATTACATTATTACTATATTACAATAAAGCACAAAAACTTTTACAACATATTAGTAAGGGAGGAAAAGGCCCTAATGTGCATTATAGTATGAAATCATATAAAATAAGCATAAAAGTGTGCATAAGCCATGTATTGTGGTACAGGCCTGTGATCCCAGAACTCTGGGAGGCAGTGGGAGAAGAATCTTAACTTTGAGTCTAGCCTGGGCAACTTAGCAAGACTCTGTCTCAAAATAACAACATAAAATAACAATGTGGCCTGACAATGTAGCTCAGTGCAAAGGTTCTAGGTTCAATTCCCAGTCCCACACACTTGCATACATGCACACACACACGGATACACACATGCAAGCACACACAAAGGACAAAATAATTATAAAAAATTACATCAAAATTCTAGCAGGGTATCTTTGCATGAAGAATCATAACCATACTGATTTGTTTTATATTTCAGAAATGCTCCACATTAACATTTTAATTGTAAAAGAGACTTATGTGGCATTGGAATATCAGCTAATACCGTATTTGATCTGTCAAATAAAGAAAATAGTTTTAGAGGTTTAAAAATTAACGGCAACATCAATTTGATCACTTTGGAATTAGACTATGATAAATGATTTATATTTAATCTGTTTTTATATTCTAATTTTTAACATTGACTTTTTGATATCACAGTGAAATTTGTTTTATCCAAAGACTGAGTGAAATTTTCTTAGTAATCAAAGTTTTATAACAAGTATCACAATATTGTAAGGAAAGCAGTTACATTAAGGCTAACAAAGGAGAAGAATCAAGCTCAAAGAAAATAGTCTAATAAATAGCCTACCAGCATCATCATAATCAATCATTTACTTAGGGCTAGTACAGGCTAGGCATTGTCAACATATCAATAATTTTTATTAACAGTCCCAATTAAATAAATAGCATTGTCAGATAAGAAAACTGATAATCATGGAAGTTGAGTTCCCAAGATCATATGCAGCTAATAAAAGTGAAGAAACTAGGAACTGATCCAAAGGTGAACCTCAGAATACATGCTCTTAGTCAATATACATTATAGCTAGGCTAACTATAGAACTTACTATTTAGTTGAGACTTCACTGAGAGTAAGATAGCACTATTAAGAAATATGCCTGGAGGGGCTGGGGATTTAGCTCAACAGCACAGCACCTGCCTGGCAAGCGCAAGGTCGTGAGTTAGATTCCAGGTACCGGGGGAAAAAAAAAAAAAAAAAATATGCCTGGAACACAGGCATAAAATGAGAGTATCCCCAGCAGGCCAGAACTCACCCCATTGAAGTTCAGAATTATGAAATTCTGATTCCACACTTACTAGGAAAATGAAAGAAGGGTTAAGTTAGCCAATGTTATGGGAGTTGTTTCTTTTACAACAGAAGGCTAAAAAAGAATATAAAGAAAAGATCTTTGATATATTGGTTCTGAAGAAATCAGAGTTCTAGTTAAGAATTCTGAGCAAGCAATCATTTATAAAGTACCAGAGAATATTAATAATCAACTCTATGTAATCTAAGAAACTGAAAGTTATCACAAATACCACTGAACTAAAACCTGTAAATGAATACTAGTAATACCTAAAAAAACCAAATTTAACAAAAATGTCACCTGAAATATTAATAGCATAAAAATTACATTAAAGATGAATTTCCAAGTTTATCAAATAGCAGTAATAACAATGTATTTTTTAGTTAAAATAGTATATTCCATTACTGAAGATCTTGTGCAACAAACAGTAGTTAAATAACATCAGTTAGATTGATTAGCTTCACAGCCACCTAGGGGAATTGTACAGTACACTTCTGGGTATATCTGGGTAAGTCATGGAGGTGTGATCTTGGCGGTCTATATTTGATCACTGACCCCTTTCTCTCTGGCACTGCTTTCCTGCTCTGCTTCCTAATCACCACAAACTGTTGAGCTCTACCCTGCCCTTCCACCATGAGCTATAGGAAAATTCTCTTCCTTTAAGTTGCTGGTGTCAGCTTTTTTGTTTTAGCAACAGGAAAGCTAAGCAATACTGCAAACTGGTACTAGAGAAGTAGACTTGTTGCTGTGATTATACCTGACTATGTGGTTCAAAAGCCTTTGGAACTAGTTTGCAGGAGGAGTTTGCAAGTCTGAAGAAGCAAGGTAGAGAAGCTCTAGAATGTTGCAAGCAGAACTTGATAGGGGATTGTGATGAGAGCTCAGAAGCACAGAATGGTGACAGGAATGCAGATAGCAGAGGCCAGACTCATGAAGTTTACGAGAAAATGAGAACTCTTCTGAGAATTAAACAAGAGGCTACACGCATTACACTCTGGGGCAAAGAATCTCTCCTTATTTTGCCTATGCCCTGAGACTCTGTGGGAGGCTGAATTTAAGGGTTGTGACTATTTGATTTGGTGGAGGAAATATCAAGGCACCTCAGTGTTCAGGCTCTGACTGTGTACTGCTGGCTGCTTTTAACCAGATGTATAATAAGAATCAGTAAGAATCAGTAAGACTTCACACACTGCAGGCTCAAGGGTGCAAAAGTCAGCCTTTCACTTGAGAAAAGAACTCCTGGGTCTACTACTCAAGAGGGACCACATGGAATTAGTTCCCTTGAACTCATTTCACCAAGCTCAGCCATCAAGGTACTCAGAGGCTGCTATAGCCACAGTCCAAATAGGCTTGGCTACTGTTCAATGTGGGAGCAAACCTCGGCACTATCCACATAATATCTGCTGTTTGGGCATGTGGAATGCAAAAACTGTGACACCATGGAGGCTTCCACCCAGATTTCAAAAAAGGCAGACGCCTAAAGCTAGGGAAACAAAGCCAAGCATGCAAAGGAGACCCTAGGAAGTCAAAGATGCCAGAAAAGTGGGATATTTCCTGGCCGCAAGGAAAGCCAGCCCAAGAGAGCAGCTGTGTGGTCGCCCAGAAATGTGATTCACTGGCCTAAATAATTCTACTATAGATCAATAAAACCAAATGTGAACTATGACCTACCTACAGCACTGGTTCTTATACTTTGTGACATCAGAATCACCTGAAATTATAAAGCATAAGACAAGCAAGCCCTAGAGGTGAAGCTGACCAAGTCTGCAACTCTTCTCATCATATGCCTAGGGTGCCTAACATGGGGTGACTTAATGTTTGTCCTGCTGAGTTTTGGTGTTACTTTCATCTGATCCTTTCCTACCTCCCTATCCCTCCCTTTTGTAATGGGAATGTTTACCTTCTACCACTGTATATTGAGAATGCATTAACTGCTTTTTAACTTACAGAAGTTCACAGCTCAGAGTGTGTCTTGAGTCAGAATAGACTTTTACCTATAATTCTGAGCAATGCTGGAACTGTTGAGACTTTGGAGCAGGTGTTAATGTATTTTCAGTTCTACATGGCATATCATATCATGTTAGGGGGAATTATGACCTTATTTTTATTTGGAGATAAAGTATGGTTTAAGGTCATTTGTTTGGGTGTCAGTTGAAAAAGGATGGAATATTTGACTGGCTTGGGAGCTCACCTGGGGAGGAGATTGATAAGCTAGCTTCTGTAAATGTCCCAGTGTCATGGAGGCATAACCTTTGAGGTCTACAACTGGCCCTTGGCCCTTTTCTGGTACTGCTCCCCTACTCCACTTCCCAGCCACAACAAACTGAGGAGCTTTCCTTCACCACACTCTTCTACCATGATGTTTGTTCCTTGGCACCAGCCAACTATGGACCCAACCCTCTGAAACTGAGGGCCAAATTGAACCTCTTCTCCTTTAAACTATAAGAGCTGGATATTTTGTACCAGTAATGGAAAAGCAGGCCAACACACAAGGCTTTAGTGCAAGAGCTTGGACCTAAAACACTTACCAACTTGAAAAGTAACAAAGATTTGGTAAGTAGAATGAGAAAAATCTTAAATAAATTTCACATAATTGGATTCTAAAGTCCTACAATCTTAACAAAGTTAAAAGTCAATTACTAATGAATGTAATTACTAATATATTCCTATACTTTAAAGGTAGAACTTACAATTAATGTTTTAAAAGCTTATGATACTTTTTAAAATAAATGGAAAAATGATATTCTGTAATCATTAATTTTTATTGCTTAAAAAAAAAAGTACCAAGGCCAAGAAGAAGAATGATAATTAAGGGTGGCGCAGGAACATTAAAGTTTGCCATTACTACTCCTCACCAAAACAAAGACTAACAATTTTCTGTAGTGCAGAACTAGAGAACAGTTCTATAATACCGCATATGAGGTAAATCTATTTTCTGGGTTAAATCAATTTTCTGGGTATTTCTGGGTAAGTCAAATCACCCACAAATGTGATTCACCGGCCTAAATGATTCTACTATAGATCAACAGAACCAAATGTGAACAATGACCTACCTACAGCACTTGTTGTTATACTTCGTGACATCAGAATCACCTGAAATTTTAAAGCATAATTTGCTGGGCCCTACATCCCAAGTTTCAGATCTGAACTGGTATTTCGAACAAGCGCCCATGCGATACTTACTGATCTTTTTGAGAACCACGTCTAAAACTAATGAAATATTGCTCCTGAAAAGGATTCCTATATTCAATTAAAAATATTTCTTAAAACACCAAGATGAAGTGAAAATGTCTTAACTATTATTTTATAAGAAACAGTGGCTTGCATTTTAAAATATAACTCTTATTCTCTATTTCTGTTTATAAAGTAGCATGCTTTCTGGAAAATATTTAGAAAATGAATTTTAGAAGAAAATAAAAATCACCTATACACTCAATTTTCAGGAAAAAATGACTTGTTGATTTGTTATGCAAGCATGAGTGTATCTCTGAACATTTCATTTTTGCTTATAAAAATTTGTTTCCTTGCTGTGTGTGGTAATGCAGGCCTGTAATCCCAGCACTTTTAGAGACTGAGGCAGGAAGATCACAAGTTTGAGTCCAGACTAGGCTTGAACTTCTGATCCTCCTGTCTCCACCTGCAGTTTGACCTTTTAAAAATGGGTATATAGTTAGGACTGTTTAAAGGTAAAAATATTTCTATAAAATAAACTATATAGGCATGCATTTGCCTTACACAGTCCTATGTTAACTGAAACACACATGTGAGAACTAAGTACTCCCTTTACATGGTACGATGGTAACTGTGGTGACTGCAAACAGAAGGCATGACTACAAATGCACAAATTTCAGTTACTATCAGTACAATGCAAAAGAAGAACTGCCATGATTGAGGTCCATAATGAAGATTCCAATTCATCAAGAAATAAACTTAATACATGTTTGTTTTAAAAATCATGAAAGAGGGTGAGAAAAAGTTGAACAAAAATATGAAGATGAGACCAAACTTTTGTGCACCAAAAATATGAATGATGTATTTCTATTTCAGTGTTAGCACATATTTAGGACTGTGGAGAAAACTTAACGTCATAAAATACACACCAACTAACCAGAACCTAAGTCTGTATTTGAAAAATCATATAAAATAAAATAATACAATCCTTTAAATATTTAACTAGTGGGAGAGATTTTAACTTTTAAATAGTTAGAACTTCTAATTAACATTTTAAAAGCTTATGAGTTATTAATATAAAAGAAATTACCTCTTATTTCCATGTTGCAACTACCCAAAACTTAAATTATACAATATTTTCTAAGAAATATATGCAATTTTCCTACATATCAAATAGGTATGTCCAAAGTTTGCATGGATGACAAATTCTTAGCATTTGCAATTTTTTAAACATTGTCATTACTAACAGTTACCGATTGGTAGATAGCACAATTCTTAATATGGTACTTATAAATTAAGTATGTGTTACTGGCAAAATTATAAATGCCCTAAAAATTTATAGGACTTACCACAATGTTCTAATTCCAATGATTTCTTATCAAATCAATCTATTCTGTTAATTTTTCATCTTAATATAAGGTTTACTTATACTTTTTCTCTATAGCTACATCTTACCTCTTCCTTCTTCTAATCTGTGTCTTCTGATTACACGCTGCCGTTTTTCTTCTTGTCGTAACTGAAGGTGTTCTTCAATATTAACTCCAGGTACTGGGACAGCTAGATTATTGATCAAAATAACAATAACAACTTGTGTTACAGAGTAACTGTAACTCCACACAAACATCAAGAAAGTAAAAGTAAGCAATAACATTATCTAAGACAAAAATTATTTTTATTGCAAGAATTCTTAGAAAAAGAATCTCAGCATTAATTTTATATGGCCAATTATCAAAAGAACAATAGTGCATATAGTGTTATCTTAATTTTTAATATTTATCTAATAGAAATTGATTAAGCCATCAGAAACATTGTGTTCAATATAATAAATTACCTAAAAGAAGATCTAAAGGTATCATTTCTTTCACTGCATCAAGAATCCCTCTTTGTCTTGCCTCTTGTCCATCCAACTCTCTCGCACAGGCTTTGCAACATCCACATACAGCACAACCAGATTCTCCTGAACCACAACCACAGATCCTGTTTAAACAACAAAAACCATGGTTTAACTGAAATATTTCTAATCTTCTCTTTACCTCTTCTCTACAACTTCCTTTTTGCATTTCAAGAAAAGGTAAAAATAGATGAATAAGCAAAAGACAGAGACTGTTAAGCTTCTAGTAGGCATAACTGGTATACTTATATGGAAAATACAAATGGATTCTACTGTGGAAAACCACTGTTAGAAAAGATCGATTATACAAGTTTTCTGAGTGAAGCACCATCAGCTTTAGCAATGTGTCCTGGATCAGATGGAAGCTAGCAAACAAGCAGTTTTTCCATCTACCAGGATATGCCATAATTCTCCATTCTCTTCGACTGTGTCCAACTACTTGTTCTTTTTCTTCTTCTTTGTGCCTTTGACATAAATTGTGAACAATATGATGTTTGTAACAAAATAAAGCCAAGGACACTCCCAAAGCTGGCTAGAGGGTCACTGAAGAACTAACTTCCCTAGCCATATTTGCAGATGTTGCAGCTATAGCTTTAATATTATGTTCTGAATCTGTCCTTAAAAATTTTAAGCCAGGTGTGGTGGTATATGTCGGTAATCCCAGCACACCAGAGGCTGAGGCAGAAGTACGCAGAGAGTTTGAAGCCACCCTGAATTACACTGTAAGATCAAAGCCAGACTTGAATACATAACAAGACCCTGTCTCAAAAATCTAAAGAGGAAAAATAATTTTATGGACAGCTGTATAAGTATAGCCTTGTTAGTCCTGTGGTTATGAAGACCTGCAGAAGTACAAGAGCAAGGAACCACCCAGCAGCACCTTGAAAGATGCAGCTAGGTACTTGTTAAACTTCTTGCTTCCAAAAGCTAGTCACCCTGAAAATTTGGAAGATCACTTACTATACAATAACATGCCCTACTGAATTTGTCCATGGATGTTATTTTTTAAATAGTGTTTATAACACTCATCTTTCTGAAACTTTTCCAAAGATTAAAGCAGAGAGAACTTTCCCAACTCATTCTACAGGGGCAGGATTACTCTGACACTAAATGTAAAGGCATTATAAGGAATTAAAAACAAAAACAGAAAATGCTGTAGACCAATATCCTTTATGAAAACTGATGTTAAAAAAAAAAACAAATTCAGAATCATATTAAAAGGATATGATTCATTCGTGAAATGTAACACAAGAAAATCAATGTAACACACCACAGTAACAAAATGAAGGGGGAAAAAAGCCATAATAAATTCAATCAATACAGAAAAGGCATTTGACAAAATTTGGTAACACTTCATGATTTTAGTAGGAATAGAAGGAAATTACCTTTACAAAATTAAAGCCATATATGAAAAACAAACAGTGAACAACAGTCAATGATGAAAGGCTCAAAGCTTTTCCTCCAAGATTAGCACAAAGGGAAAGATACCCAATTTGACCATTTCTATTTCATATAGTACTAGAAGGTCTATGCAGAGCAATAGGAAAGAAAAAGAAATAAAAGGCATACAAATTCAAAAGGAGAAGTAAAATTATCTATATACACAATTATTTTATTTTAAAGATAAAAGAATGAAAACAGTAACAACACATACATTTAAAAAATAACACAAACTGCAGACTGAGTTTCTAGGCGCTGGGAGGCCCAGGGGACGGGCGGGGCGAGCAGGCCCTCGGAGC